ATTATAACGATAAAAGATATAGCGCAGCTCGGATCACAAGCTGCAATTGCAGACTGCTGAGCGCTAACAACTTCCGGTGGCGCAGGTCACGTGCCACCGTAGGTTAAGATTTACCTGCTTTATTTTATTTTATTTTTTCAATAATTTTTGTGAAAATGAGACTGATAGGGTTAGGGTGATTAGTGTGCATTGTACATTAACACACAAAAATATATATTAATAACATGCACAAAGACACACAAATGGTTGTTTGTTTTTTTTTCTCCTATACGCCCCTCGCAATCGACTTGGGACCAGACCGCGATCTACCGGTCGATCGTGATCGACGTAATGGGCACCCCTGTTTTAGGTTATTGATGTCAGAGTGTGAGTGTAGGTGTGAATAGTTTGGACTATTATTGACGTTTTTAGCAAAATGTATATATTTATTTATTTTTATCCAGACTTTTGGGTTTCCTCACAGCAAATTGCTGACACATACGGAAGTGCTGCAGTTACCTCCGTTCAGTGTTTTTGCCTACTCTGTTATGTGTGAGATTTGTGTGAGGAATTTCTGTGTATGGATGTGAGCATCCGTGTTTGTGTGTCGTTGGCATTGGGCTTCCTTGCAGTTTAATTTTTGAAAAGTGCTGTATAAATAATCAGATTGTTTGATCCATAGTTGTTTGTCTTCGTAGCTTTCACTTTACTGGCGACCAGTCCAAGGTGTGCCCCCTCCAGCCATTTTCAAAAATGCTTATCCTCACGAGAGTTGCAGAGAAACTGGAGTCCATCCCCGCTGACTTTGGGTAAGGAGTCAGGGAAACACACTGGACTGGTCTCTATAGCCAATTTTAGGGCACATATACACAAACAAGCTTTTCTACTCACATTTCCACCTCTGGACTAATTTCCGTCAACCTAAGATGTGTCTTTTTGGAATGTGCAAGTATCTGGAGAAAACCCAGGAGAGAGCCTGCATACTCCTCACATGAAAGTCTGAGCCAAGGGTCAAACCCCAAACCTCAGAACAATGAGACAGACGTGCTAATCACTAGTGCACCGTGCTGCTGTAATTGGGTGCTATCATTTAAGAATTGTGACAACGTTTGTGGTTACTGAAAAAAGTTGGTTTGTGTAGTTCTTTCTCAGGAAAAAATAAATGGGAAACCAAACTTGACTGAGTCACAGTTTTTGTAAGTTGACACGCTTAACAAGTGTATATTTATAAGTTCGTGATTTGAGTCTTGTGTTTATTTTCCCAACATTTTCTTTATTCCTGTATTATAATTATTTCTTTTCTCTTTCATATAACGTGTGGTTGGGTCTGTGTGCGTGCGTGCGTGCGTGTTTGTGTGTGTGTGTGTGTGTGTGTGTGTGTGTGTGTGT